TGTGGGAACCGGGTGGAGGGGAGCTATGGGGGGAAAAAAGAGGAACAACTGTAATAATCTGAACAATAAAGATTTAATAAAAAAGAAAAAGAAAAAAAATATAAGAGAGCAAAAGAGATAAGATTTTAATCATAGCTTTTTCCCCTTTGGAAAAAAAACATTTGTTTTACAATATACATTCAGCAATACAGAACAAGTAAAATTAAAGTGAAAAAGGCAACTAGCTGACAGATATATTTAGTGTGATTCTATTAGAATGATATAAATAGGCTCTGTTTTTTATTCATGGAAATTTTCTGCCATGAAAATTTCACAAGAAAACTATTATTTTTTGCTTGTAAATGATGGGATTGGGAAGTCAGGAATAGTGGGGAAATGGCCTTTCACTTTTTGCTTTATATTTTTAGATAATTTAGATAATATTTGCTGCCTTAATTCTTACAAACTTAACTGTTCAATCAAGTACTTTTGAAGTAAAATAGAAAAGTATCACAAAGACACAAAATATATTATTTAATTTAAATTAGATTACACTTATAACAGTACTGAATTTTACTTCAAATATATATGCATTGTCTCTACTATACCTGAATCATAATTCAATTCAAAATTGACCAGGATGTGAATATTTTTTAAATTATCAAATGTTGCAATTTAACATTTTTATTTTTTAGACAACATTTGAGAGAGGACTAGAACTACATGCCAAAGTTACAATTTTTGCAGAGGGTTGCCATGGACATCTCGCCAAGCAACTGTATAAGAAGTTTGATTTGAGGGCCAATTGTGAACCCCAAACCTATGGAATTGGACTGAAGGAGGTATCCTGGCTTGTCTTTGTAATTTTTTATGTTGAAATATGGAACTTTAAATTCATTGTATTATAATGTAATTATAATGTTGATTTAATTTTACAGTTATATTTTTCATTGACTTGAAATGTTATGACTGAAAATATTTGGGATATTTTTCAAAGGGCTAGAAAATATTACAATCAAAATTCATTGTTATCTAAATTGCATCTATATGTTGTAATTGTTTTATCAAATATTGCTGAAAGAAGTCTTGAACTTGAAAATATTTGTTAACATTGATATTTTGAATTGTAATGCCATCTCCCATAATAGTATTGGACCTGCTATTCATATGCTAGTTATAGGATGACTACATCCTACAAGAATTTTTCATTCAAAACTGTAATGTGAAGATAACTTCATTTATGAAACTTACACTCAGTCCTGGTATATTGACATGAAACCTAAAATTTAGTTAGGTTAAGTGTTGTGTATTTTCTCAATTTATCCAATCACTAGACTATTTTTTCACTTTAAGTGTATCTATAATAATAATAGCATAATATGCTAATGAGACCGGACTTTCTTCCGGACGTCCTTCCAGATGAAGCATGGGCTGCGAGGGAAGCCCGGGTCCCAGGTGCCAGAGGGAAGCTGGTGCCAGCAGCAGGGGGAAGGAAGGCCTACTCTTGCATGAATTTCGTGCATCGGGCCTCTAGTTAGAATCTAAAAGTTTCATTATATCCTTTTGTTTAAATTTATTTTTAGGGTAAAGCTCAGAAAGGTTTAGATTCATTATGTTGTGAATAAGGGTTTAATTGTTTTGGTAGATTGTACGTATTACCTGCTTTTTAGACGATATCTTAGATGGAAATTGTTTAAAGTTTAAACTTACCATTCTAAAAGTAGGATGAATCATTTGCTTAATTTGAGGAGGGGGCTGTGCAAGAAAGAGTAAAATATTTTATTGAAGAGTAACAGAGTCTACAGTACCAGATCTTAGGTGTACAGTTCAGTTAATTTTTATAAGGTTAACACACCCATATTACCACCACCCAGATTAAGACATAGAATATTACAAAAACCCCAAAAGTTTCCCTCATCTCTTCTGGGGTGTTTCCTAGAATCATACGAAAGTCTTATTGATTTGAACATCTTAATGTCTAAAAGTGTTCATAACATTTCTGACCTTTCTCTTTACTCTGATTCATCATGCTGCAGTTTGATATCATTTTCTTTGACATTTGAAGTACTTTTTTTATGTTTCTCTTGTTACAGTTTTTTACTTGTAATTTTCATAAATAAGACAAACTTGGCAAGTTTTATACATTGTAGTGACATAAAAATTTAAATAATACTCTAGGACTTTTTTTTTAAAGCTATGGCTTATTGATGAAAAGAAGTGGAAACCTGGGAGAGTAGATCACACTGTCGGCTGGCCCTTGGACAGACACACTTATGGAGGCTCTTTCCTCTATCATTTAAATGAAGGGGAACCCCTGGTGGCTCTTGGTTTTGTGGTAAGTTATACGCCCGTTATGGAGAGTTCTGTTAGTCACTGGATCATCAAGGTTATAAAACAAGGGTTTTGAATATGAGGAATGTAAAATGCTTTACTTAAAGCTTATGTTCTAATGCAGCGGTTCTCAACCTGTGGGTCGCGACTCCTTTGGGGGTCGAACGACCCTTTCACAGGGGTCGCCTAAGACCATTGGAAAACACATATAATTACATATTGTTTTTGTGATTAATCACTATGCTTTAATTATGTTCAATTTGTAACAATGAAATTGGGCGTCACCACAACATGAGGAACTGTATTAAAGGGTCGAGGCATTAGGAAGGTTGAGAACCACTGTTCTAATGTAATCAGCATGTAAAGTGCTTATGGTTATTAGAGACATTAGTCTACTTAACACACATAGCTTTACTAATAGTAGCTACTGTGTGTCAGGCACTGCTAGATATCTCACTGAGAATTCTTAAGTTTCATAAAATCCTATGAAGTAGGTATAGCCTTTTTTACTGATGGGAAGTCCAAACAAGTTAAACTACTTTCCCAAATAGGCCTATTAAATGACAGAGGCAGTTAGACACTTCAAAGCCCATTATGACATGCTGCCCCTGAAAATTTAGTCAGCACTGGGTTTGAACTTATAACTTTTTAAAAACATGAGCATTTTCTCCTTTTTGGCCACTTATACCTTTAGTAAATTACATCTTGAACATCACAAGGAACAGAAAAATTGCGAATTTCTGCACCTTAGAATTGGTGGCAGTTTATTGTGTAATGTCATGATTAAACCTGAATATGAACCATTGTTAAACTTATGTGCTTTTTGAAATCCAGACAAGTTGCAGCAGCACCATCTTTGTGTAGTTATTCTAGTGACTTAATCTTTTCAAAGCATAAAAGGCTTTGTTATTAATTTCAGCACTACAGTAATGCCTTTAAAATGTAACCTTTAATATTTCTTGTCCTCTTTTTTCTAAGTGTGATTACATCCTGTTCATTTTTGCCTCAGTAGTACTGCATATAGCTTATGTATTTGTAGAGTTGGTATTGATAACTGAATAATTATTACAATTCCTTTTATAGAAACACAATGTGAGGGACACTTACCTACAAATATTTTTCTAATATGGACTTTGCTATATAGAGCACAGTGATTTATTAATATGTTCCAAATATTTAAAGTTTTTCTGATTATAAACACAAGGTATTCTTTGTTTACCCTTTCTTTTCCAAACATTTTATTTAGTTATTTATTTAAATTTAGGTTACAGTATATATTTCTCTTAAGTACTTTGAGTATAAGAAATTTAATGTACATGTTTTCTGATAAAAATTACTCACATTTTAGCTTGACATAATTTGAAATAAAAATGTCTAATTGCATAAATATATCAAATTTAATTATAAAAATTTTAAGGTTGGTCTGGACTATCAAAATCCATACCTGAGTCCATTTAGAGAGTTCCAGAGGTGGAAACACCATCCTAGCGTTCAGCCAACATTGGAAGGTGGAAAAAGGATTGCGTATGGAGCCAGAGCTCTCAATGAAGGTGGCTTTCAGGTAAGTTTCCCAACTTTTTTATTCTTTATTTATGTATTATAAATCCAACATTGAAAATATAATGTTATAAATTTAAAGAATAGAAAATCACTTCATAGGAAAAAATTTAGGTAATTCAGCAAGTCACCTAGTATTTATAAGTCTGCGTCACACTGTAGTTAAATAAATTACACCATGAATTTAAAGAATATATTGACTTGCCCTAACCGGTTTGGCTCAGTGGATAGAGCGTGGCCTATGGA